ATTTACATGTCTCAAATTACTCACCCCCAATTCAATCCCAAAATTCGACATTCACATAAATTATTTCCACCCCTCTTCCGCCGCCAGTCGTTTGAAGCTGATTCCGATCGATTTTCTCACCAAAATCGACCGGAACCATCACTTTATCATTTCCAAGTGTTTTTCCAACATTGATAGCCCTTGATTTGACCGATTTTTTACGAATCTCGCAACCTAGCTTCATCGCATGCGACAACCATTTCCGATCTTTTTGGCATGGACCTGACATCGTTGGCCTTCCCTAACAGCACCATCTTCCTTCTTTCAACCTTCTCACCAAAACCCCTATTATACCTCCTCCATTTACTCCGCCATAGCCGGCCACCGATACCTTTTGGGCTGTGACTTTTCAAGTCTTTTTGGGTCAATCTTGGCATTGGAAATCACCCATTTCACCACCCATCACTTCTTCAGCATCTATTTTCCAAAACCCCCCACAAACCTGACCCGGTTAGCTCGCCGGTCGTCATCCACCTCTCCTAGTGATTTTGTATCTCAAAAGCAAGAAAAATAAATTTGAAATAATTTTTTTAATATATGCTTATATTATTAGAAGGCCTCCAAAGTAACTTTTACCTAAAGTCACAAATGTTTTTGAAACGGCACTGACCCAATATTTGACACCAAACCAAAATTTACGGCTATGAGTTCTAGGGTTTTTTTTTTTTTTTTTTTTTTTTTTTNTGCTGTAAAGTACCACACTTCACGCCTATACACCCCCAACTAGACCTGGCAAACTCCACCTCTCTTTTTCTCTCTCTTTCTTCGTCAAAATAACTTCTTTCTTACAGCTCCTAGCCCACACACAATTTTTCAGCCATCTCTGATCTCTGTCACGCAGACTCGCAGCCATCTATCCAGTCGGCAGTCGCCCATTTCGCCATTTCTCCTTCACGCAGCCATCCTGCACGCCGACGCCCAGCCATTTCTCTCAATCACAAAATTTTGAGTTCTCTTGCTGCCATCTCTGATCTCTCTCACGCAGCTACCTCTTCAGGTAGGAACCCCAAAACCAGAACCCTCACCCCAATCTAAAACCTGCAAAACCCAAAATTTACGGCAGTGAGTTCGAGGGTTTTGTTTCGTTTAGTTCAATTTTGTTTACTGAAATGTGGGAGACCATTCAGAATTGGATGAGTTTTACTATTATCGCTTGTGGGATGCTTTTATTATTTGTTGATTTGAAGTTTTTTCTTATCGTTTACTCCTTCTGTTTTTATATAAAAGTCGTTTTGAGGGTGTTTTATTTTTTTAAATTAAAAGTCACTCCTTGTCTTGTCTTTTCTCCACTTTTCGTTATGGCTCACATCTCTTCTATCTTTCTTTATTTTATCTTATCTCTTCCCCTCTTCTCCTCTCTTTCATATTTTCTATTGCCTACTTCTTCTTTCTCTACTCTGCGTCTCTGCTTCCATCTTCTCTCTCTTTTTTGGAACAAAGTGTAAAGACAGGATCTTCGACTCGGACTTTACCGGAGGTCAATTCTTCGACTTTAAGGAGCCACGTTTCGCCGGGTTGCTGTGTGGAGTCGAGGGGTTCGAAGGCGTAAATAAGACAAATGTAAATTATTTAAATATGTAGCGGGAAAGTTTCCCACCTGCAAAATCTTTTCCCACCTGCAAAATCAGGGAAAAAAGTTGGGTGGGAGAGACACAGTTTTTTTTATTAAAAATCGTGTTCAAGCTTAAAACGACTTTTATATAAAAACAGAGGGAGTATTATTTGTTGATTTGAAGTTTTTTCTTATCGTGTATGTATATCTATTGCCATTTAGTAACAATTTATTAAATTATTGTATATTTTAGTTGGTCTTGTTTAATTAATGTTTATGCTGCTAAATTTGATAATGGAGAAAAAAAAAAAAAATCATTTTATACGGGTTGACTCGTACCCGTATGGGCGGGTGCAGGTCATGCATATGACTGTCTGTACAAAAAAAATTATCCATGGACCTGTACCCGTTTCACTCGTGACCTGTTGCTACTCGTGACCTGTTGTTACCCAATCCATACCTGTCTGACTTGCCCGTTTGTCAAGTCTAAATATTACTAGGTATATGACATCATGTAATTAGGACATTCAAAGGTCTTGACATAGTGAAATATTATTAGACATATGATATCATGTAATTGAGACATCTAAATATCTGATCAAAGCTTTGATTAATCTATATATCTACACGCGATATCATGTAATTGAGGTTTTAAAGGATTAGACATGTGACATCATGTAATTGAAGCATTCAAAAGTCTAATCAAAACTTGATTAATCTATACATTGACATGGAGCATCCAAAGGTCTAATCAAAACTTTTCTATCATTTCTTTATTTCGACTTGGTTAAATATTATTAGACAAGTGACATCTTATAATTGGAAATAAAAAATCTAATTAAAACTTAGATTAATTTTCACATGAACACGGACGTTTCACGTTCACGTCCGCATTCAAATGCTTCAAATTGACGGTATGTGTTATTAGTCGAGAGAGACTGAGCAAAATAGAAAAAAGATTTAAATAAAAGGTGAATACACAAGGTCGTGAATACACAAATCTCAGTGACCCACAAGCGTCGTGAATACACACATTTCAGTTCAGATGTGAGTGTAGACTGAAAATGGCAGGAAGAGAAGATCGTGAATACACAAATCCCCGTGACCCAAAAGGTCGAACAAGCTTTTTAATCTAATTCAATTCATTGATTTTATCAATTAATTGATTAATCATATTATGGTTTTGAATTGATTTGGTTGCAGATAAGAAGTGGGGTAAAGGCAGGGATAAGATTGACGATGAAGACATCACCTTTCAACGAATGGTTGCCAATGTTAGAGCGTCCACTTCTCCCTCTCTTTCTGCATCTGGGTCTGTGTCCTTTTTGGATTTTATTTTCTTTTTTGGAAGAAAGTTTAAAACTTTAAGTGGTTGTGGAGAGATTTTTCATAATGTTTGAGAACTTTATGTGTGTAGAGAGGCTTGTGATGATATTAGTTATGTTTTGTGAAAGAAGTTGAAAACTTAATGTGGTTGTGGATAGTTTTCTGATAACATTAGTTCTGTTTTTGTAAAAGAATGTTGAAAACTTGAGTTCTCTTTCTCTGTGATAATCAATTTCGATTCACCCAATTTTTTTTTTTTTTTTTCCTTTTTAGGGTCCTTCGACTACCATGTCCGTTCCTTATTTTATCGCCGCACCTCAACCTCGCCGCAGAAAACAAGCCAAGAAATCTTCCGGCTTTCGGAAGCGTTGTTTGCAAATGGTAAAGCAACAGAAAACCCGTTTCTACATCCTTGGCCGCTGCGTTTTTTATGTTGGCACGAATACCATCATGATGTCTATGAATCAGTACGATTGATTTTGGTTGGTTAATCTTAATCATGTTTTTTTATTTATTTTTTTTATGGTTATATGGTTTCAAGCTCAACTGCGCGAATGCATGGGAAATAAGAGACGTAGTTGGAGGACATAAATTTTTTTTTTTTTGGTAGTTTTAATTGGGGGTAGTGTAATTAAAGAAGAATGATTATCGATTTTTATTACTGTAAATCTCTGTTGTTACATAAAATAAATATTAGAGGGAAAAAAGGAAGAGGAAATTAGAAGCTAATGGTTATTTCTGTGAAGTTTGATGGAATGAATTAATTATTTTCTTATATGCTTCAACGGAAAGTTTAGTATAGCAGCAGATTTCAAACAATTCACAGTACGAACAAATTATTTCTATAATACAATCGATTCTATGAGAGATGTTAATTCACCTGATGCTTCGCCTTCAATTTTTTTAAATTTTAGTAACCAAACTAAACGATTAATATCTATTGTTATTACTGGTAGGCGGTATGTAAATCAATAACATTGCTGGAGAACGTGGTGGCTATATTCATGGGCGAGGCGGTCACTTGGCCATTGCTATTGTTAGAAATTTTGAAACGAATGCTTAGTTTTTATACGCCAACTCTGTGTTATATGTTATGGATTGAAGTCCAAGTTTCTATGGTGCTATTAGAAATAGGTTATGTTGAAATTTTTGAAAAGTAGACTAAGGTAATTTATCTGAATGGTCGTACTTTGTTTTTATGTATGAAAGTACCTATTTAGCAAATCACCATTCATTCTTGCTGTTCTAAAATCAGTTATTAATTTGGAAAGTTATGCTTCTATTTTTCATAATATAATGTCTTTGTCTCATTTTCAATCTAATAGTCTGATGGGTCAATTTGGATTGGTGGGTAATTATAGGTATACGTTACAGTATGCCAAATATGCCATAACTTTGTGGGGGCTAGGCTGGCTACAGTTAAAGCCTGTGTTGTGTGGATGATATGAATCATTCCTGCCATTATGTGAGTCTTTAAAGTTTTTTAAATTTATTTGTAGTTTACTACATGAATTTATCATTATTGAAACAGGTATTGGATGCGACAGATAATGAACCTTGGGGTCCTCATGGCACTGCATTGGCTGAAATAGCACAGGCCACTAAGAAATTGTTAGTTTGTGTAAACTTTTTGCAACTATTGATGTATTTTTAAAGAATGATATCTTTATTTTGCAATTAACTGATTAGTTACTATGTCTGATAGCTCTGAATGTCAGTTAGTAATGAATGTTCTGTGGACAAGATTGGGTGAAACTGGCAAGGACTGGCGTTATGTTTACAAGGTAGCATATTCCTTCATTATTGCAGTATCAACCTAAAGATTTGTATATAAAAAATCTTTTAATATTAAGAGCTGCTGACTGGACAAAGCTTGAGTTTGTGCAGGTATTTATGGTTTTCTGGTATTGAATTCCTTGAATGTAGCGTTACACGATACTTAATTGTGTTATTTTTTGAGGTTTTGCAGCTTCGTGGAGACGGTTCTCAAGCAGCATTTCCAGAATTAGTGCAAGAAAACCGAATAATTTATGTTCTTCATGCAAATGAAAATGTGGACCTTCTAAATTTATGATAAAAGAGTGTTCTTTGGTGTTTTCTATTTTATCTCTGGATCTGATTCAGATCTGTGAAATTTCCTATTGGATCTTTAAAATTTTGGCTGCTATTTTAATTTTTTTTTTTTTTTAAATTGTTTTTGGTTATATATGTGTTTTACCTGGGCGTCAGTAATGTACGGGATCTTTCTATACATCAATTGCTCCGCTGTTCACTGGAGTCTCGGTGTACACATCAGCTTCGTTAGGTAATATTTATGTTCTTCATGCAAATGAAAATTGGGGCCTTCTAAATCAGATTTATGATAAAAGAGTGTTCTTTGGTGTTTTCTATTTTATCTCTGGATCTGATTCAGATCTGTGAAATTTGCTATTGGATCTTCAAAATTTTGGCTGTTATTTTATTTTTTTTTTAAATTGTTTTTGGTTGTAGATGTGTTTTACCTGGGCGTCAGTAATGTACTGGATCTTTCTATGCATCGATTGCTCCACTGTTCACCGGAGTCTCGGTATACACATCAACTTTGTTAGGTAATATAGCTGTTATTATTCCGATCTCTATTTTTTTTTTTTTTTTTTTTTTGTCTTCTTCCAAATGCCCCTTTGTTGCTGTTCTCCTTTAGAAATATGTTTATTAGTTTTGCATTCATGATCTTTTTTTTTTTTTCACATTATGTTTGTTCATTGTTTCATCAGGATTGAGTACTGGTGGCCTATTTCAGCTCAAAATTTTCAACTTCCACAGTAGGCGAATCCAAGGTAATGTTAAACACCTTTTTTCATCGTTGACAATTGTTTTAAACATCACTAATCACGTTAAGATTGTGTATTTGCAGGCGTAAAGGGAGGGAACTTAGAAATTTTCTTTTAATGATGAGAAGCGTGAAAAGAATGTACCTTTGGTTAAGATGTGTGGGATTATCAGCTAAAGATGCTGCTATAGCAGCAGAAGCTGGTGCTAATTTATTGGAATGATTATTTGGCCAAACTCCAAGTGGTCAGTTTCACCTGCAGTTGCTAAAGAGATTTCAAAAGTTTCAAGAGAATATGGGGCAGAGCCTGTTGGGGTGTTTGGATGATGATGCAGAGACGATATTGAGAGCTGCTAACTAGGCAAAGCTTGAGTTTGTGCAGGTATATATGGTTTTCTGGTATTGAATTCCTTGAAACTTTTGATGGGAATCGACCAGATAACCATCCTTTACCCAAGAATACTTTTTTCTATGCTAAGCTGCTACTGAATTGAATTGCTGCTGAATGAATTGCTATGGTTATTGTTGTTTTTCTATGCTAAACTGCTGCTGAATTGAATTGTTGAGGTTAATTGATTGTCTATGCTGAGCTGTTGTTGATTTGAATGATTGAGGTTTATGTTGAGATTCTCTACTGAGTGTTTATGGACAGAGTGTTTATGCTGCTGAGGAAGAGGGTGTTTGTGTATGATGATGCAGAGACGATATTAAGAGCTGATGAGTGGGGAAAGCTTGAGTTTGTGCAGGTATGTATGTTTTTTTGCTATTGAATTCCTTGAAACTTTTGATGGGAATCGACCAGATAACCATCCTTTACCCAAGAATACTTTTTTCTATGCTAAGCTGCTGCTGAATTGAATTGCTGAGGTTATTATTGTTTTTCTATGTTAAACTGCTACTCAGTTGAAATGCTGAGGTTAATGTTGATTGTAATGACTGAGGTTACTGTTGAGATGGTGTTTATGGGCAGAGTGTTTATGCTGCTGAGGAAGAGTTGTTGCCAGTTGCCAGATTTTTCTGCTGTAAGTGTTGTTGCCAGTTGACAGATTTTTCTGCTGAAGAGTTGTTGCCAGGTGTGATAAGAACGGCGATGGGTTGCTATCAGAGGAGGTATAGGAGGTGAGGACTCATTATATATGCGTAACCAATGAATTGTCCTTAATTTATTTCTTCAATTATTCGGTGCTATTACAATTTAAAATTTCTCATAATTTTTATGGATAAAGGTCATAGTCTTGAGTGCCTCTGCAAATAAGCTCTCAAATTCTTAAAGATAACGTTGCAGCATATGCAGCTTTCATCATGGAAAAGGTAGATCCTGACCTTAAGGGATATATAGAGGTTAGCATTTTGAAATGAATAAGTTCACAACTATTATATATATACATACATATTCTTTTCTAACTTACTATATTTTTACAATTTGTTTTACTTTTAATTGAACAGATGTGACAACTAGAAATTCTACTACGAGGAATTGTCTCGGATGATGGCAACAAGGTGCGCCATAGCAACTAAGGCAATTGCCTTAGGCGTCCCCTTAAGTTAAGGCATTTAAAATATATATTTAGTCATTTTTTAAATTTAACTCAATCTTCTTCTTGAATTAAGGCTAATATATCTATATTCTATCTTTAAAATTAGACAAAATTAATATTACTCTTTAAATATCAGTGATCTTGATAGGCTATTTAGGTTAAAATTCTATATTTACACGCTCCATTTTATAATAAATAGTATAATTTAATATAATTGTCTAATTAATTTTTTTTAAAACTTTTCCTTTTATAAAAATTTAACATTTTAGGCTTTCTTATGGAAAATAAAGGAGATACCTTTCAAAGTTTTTTTCTTCATAATATCATTCAAAATTATACATAGTATTAATATAATCATTTTCTAATGTGAATGTTATAAATCTCAAGACATTGCTACTTAATATATATATATAAAATCTAAAAATATTTTAAATATAACAAAGTAAAATATATATATTTTTCCTGACATTTTAATCATTTTTTTTTTCCATATATAGTATTCTCTTAATAATAAAAATTCTTAGTTATAAAATTAAATATATGAAGGTCTAAATTCAAAAGTTTTGCTCAAGTCCCACAATAGTCACGGTCATCTTGAATTTCATAAAATATCTCAAGGATGCAATGTAATATAATCTAAATTAAATGTTTTTGTGTGTATAAAGAGAGGAACGTGATTTAATTTGTAAGGGTAGTAGATTGTAACATTAGGTGTGTATGTTGGCATCGTTTTGATATGAGTCTTTGCAACTTTTTATTTAAAGGTGAATGAACAAATCATCATTTTGAGAGTTTCTCTTGAAAGTTATCTAGATTTCTAATGTGTGGATTAAAAAGGTTATATCTGATTCAAAATTTTTAAGTTTAAAACTTCACTTGAACATTCTTACTTTCTCTTTCTAAACTACCCATTCATTTTTTAAAAACCAAGGTTATTGTGTTGTACGATGATCAATATTTGTTGCCAGATTTTTGTGCACAATGTTTATGCTGCTGAAACATACGGACTAAAGTAATAAGAAGAAATGTTCATGATAAACCACACAAGATAAACACTACAGTCATATTTGAACGAATCGGCAACAATACCAAAAGACAAAGCAAACGAGGATAGAAACTAATATAGGAATTTCAAAGAAATGATAAAAGGGAAATGAAGAAAATCCTAAATAAATAGTAACCCAATTTTCAAGCAAATTGTCCGGTTCACAAAACATTAATTATACAATTTAATATTATTTATTTGGATTAAATGGGTATACATTGACATGTAATATTTATATGAAATTAATATTCTTTATTACTTTAATTATTAATTGAACATTATATTAAATATTATCACAAATATTTTCTAATTTATTATTTTAGTCGGTCCTAGGATACTATTGATATTGTATAATTTTTAAATTATGTTAGTATATTTTGTAATTTATAATTAACATAATTAGGAGATTCAGTATAACATTTACAACCTATATAATGTCTGTACAATTATAATAGATCTCAACCAATTGAAATATCTAATTTTTTAAACAAACATGGTGTGAAAACAACTTTTTTAAGCCTACCGCACAACGTGCGAACCTTTCAACTTGGGTAATCAACCCTTGCATAAAGATGATGCCTATAAAGGGAATGAAATTTTGCTTTCATATGAATAACCCCAAACACATCATTGGTTCCTTCCTAACTTTCATTGTAAATTTTCTAACTAACATAATTAGGAGATTTAGTAGATCATTTTCAACCTATACAATGTATGTATCTTTATAGTAGATAATCAACAAATTAAAACATCCAATTATTCAAACAAACTTGGTGTTAAAACTAATTTCTTAAGCAACCCGCGCAATGCGCCGGACTTTCCTCTGGCTTTATATAATCACACCTTCCATCAAAGTGTGCAGTTAATAGAAAAAACCTCTCTATAGACCAATAAGATTTTAGCACATAAAATAATTATTAAACCAAAGTTATACTTTAACAAACAAACAAACATAATATATAAAATTTAAGGCACGTGGGCCATTAAATAAAAATCTAACATTTAGTTGCAAATTGTGTTTCTAAAAATCTTTTATTATAAATTAAATTTGATTTGGCAACCAAAATTTTAGTTGTAAGTATAACCAACTTATTATTGTTGTGGAATAAACATATTTGTCAACCTTATGTGTTGTGTGTGCACAACAGTTTGTGCTTATACACTCGCTTCAGATATTTGCAACCCAGCACAAGTTGCATGTCTGATAAAGTGGAAAATATATTTGTTTATCTTTGTCTCTAACTTTTTAAGATTTTTTACATGTGTCATATTATCCTAAAGTGGTCCTAGGGAATAAAGTTATCTTTTCTGATTTGTTTTGTGGTCCAAACCAAAAGAAGGAATACTTTCCTTATTTAGACAAACATAGGTCAGCCCCTTGTTGGTTGACGTGACACATATGTGTTGAGCAAGCTATATAACATTCTCTTCTTGCGTATTTGAATCTAACCTTTTGATCTTTTATTTCCTTGTACTATGAAATTTCTTAAAGTATTCTTTCTCTTAAAAGGTTCATAGGTTCATTTACACTTCGTGCCAAAACCTCACCATATCTTACATTGTCTTGATGGCACTTGGAACATGGTTCCTTTGCTTTTGCTGATGTTGATGTTGGTGCGTGGCGTTAGTGTTTGAAGCTTGGTGGTTCACAAGCTGTTCTCGGGTGTGTTACCAGAGTGAAGAATGTCTAAGGAGTTTCAACATGTTAAGGATTTAAAGTGTGGTGTTAAGTGTAAAGTTGAACAGAGAGTTCTTTTTATTGTATCTTAGATCAACTTTGAACTATATCTTGTAATGTGTTTTTAACTTAGTGGATTGCTTCGATCTGGACAAGGTCCCATGGATGTATGCTAAAAGCGGATTTTAGCCGAACCATGTATATGACAGTGTTCTTTACTTTCTGCACTTGTGTTTGATGTGTTTAAATCTGAATTCTCTTAATCAACTTAGTAATATTTCTGCTGCACTTAAAATGGATAACCATACACTAAAGTGAGTAAACAAACTTCCCAACAAGTGGTATTAGAGCTTGTTCTGATAAGTTGCTTCAATTGATCCATACCCATTTTGGTTGTTTTTGTGTGCATCTGTTTGGTCTTGTGTTTGGACGAAATATATTCTGTGTTGCGTTTTATTTTAGATCTGCTACGTGTCTGTGTGTGCACCACCGTTTGCTGTGTTAGCATCTGTTTGATTGGTTTTTGTCATGAGTTTCTTTACTGAAGGAGGGTCTGCTCATAGACTACCCTTGTTAGAAGGACCTAACTATTACACATAGAGACCTAGGATGCGTGCTTTTCTTAAGTCTATTGATGAAAGAGTCTGGTCCACGGTTGTGAATGGTTGGACAACCTCGGTTATTGTTGAAAATGAAGTGTTTAGACCAAAACTGATGACTAGTTGGACTACTGATATGTAATGTTCTC